AACACACACACACACACATACACAAAAACAAACACACACACAAGCACATTTTCTCAAGACTAATTACTTAATAGTGTATTTCTTCTTAAATAAAGCTCAGTCCTATTTTTAATGAGTTGTTAATTAGGCAGCTGCTATCAGTGTTGCCATAATAACACCTGTCACTTAATTTCCAGCTTACATATCTTAACACAAATGATGGACATTTTTTAATTATTATAGATTTTGTGAGATTGTGTAGCATTTCATTAAACTCTAAACCTGAGTGGATCCTTCAGTGCAAGGTAAAGTAGAGGGTCGCTGCTCCGTTAGTGAGAGTCATTCTCCGTTAGGTAAGGTAGAAGGTCTCTCCTCCGTTAGTGCGATTCATTCTCCGTTAGGTAAGGTAGTGGGTCGCTCCTACGTTAGTGAGAGTCATTCTCCGTTAGGTAAGGTAGAGGGTCACTCCTCCATTAGTGAGAGTCATTCTCCGTTAGGTAAGGTAGAGGGTCGCTGCTCCGTTACTGCGAGTCATTCATCGTTAGGTAAGGTAGAAGGTCTCCTACGTTAGTGCGAGCCATTCTCCGTTAGGTAAGGTAGAGGGCTGCTGCACCGTTAGTATTAGTCATTTTCCGTTAAGTAAGGTCGAGGGTCGCTCCTCCGTTAGTGAGAGTCATTCTCCGTTAGGTAAGGTAGAGGGTTGTTGTACCGTTAGTGAGAATCATTTTCCGTTAAGTATGATCAAGGGTCTCTTCTCCGTTATTGCGAGTCATTTTCAGCTAGGTAAGGTTGAAGGTTTGTCCTCCGTTAGTGAGAGTCATTCTTCGTTAGGTAAGGTAGAGGGTTGCTGCTCCGTTAGTAAGAGTCATTCTCAGCTAAGTAACGTAGAGTGTTGCTGCTCCTTTAGTGCGAGTCATTCTCTGCTAGGTAAGGTAGAGGGTCTCTTCTCCCTTAATGAGAGTCAGTCTCCGTTAGGTAAGGTAGAGGTTCTCCGTTAGTGAGAGTCATTCTCCGTTAGGTACGATGGAGGGTCGATTCCTGTTCAATGGCCTCTATACCAGAATCACAGATAATAAAAAATAATCACCAACCAAACAATATTTACATCTTCATGTTTCTACAAACACTTCCGTGAGACGGAGATAGCAACAAGGAGGTGAAGTTGATCTGTACACTAGTTATTATATAAGCTAGTTATTACATAAGCCGCCGGATACACAGTCTCATAGTAGTTCAAAGACCAGCAGTCGAAAATTAAAATCACTCTATGCTGTTGCTGTGTGATTTCAATTTATGACATTTAAATTGGAAGAATGTGGCAAATATTGTAACAGCAGAATTTCAGGAGGCAGCTCAAATGACCAGTCTCATATATGAACTGAAATTCTCTAATAAATTCGCTTTAAATAACAAAAAAAGGCACACTACCGTGACTGGAACGATACACAAATAACCCGCACATAGAAGAGAGGAGCTTATGACATGATTAGACAATGATTAGACATGATTAGACAATATCTTTGACTTCATAATAGTGAATAATGATGAACTAGAATGGAATACAATGGTGTCGAAGACAGCAAATTTTAATCGCAACTTAATCGATGTTCAGACCTGCATTCACACTGGTCATGAACAGCAAAAGAAAAATAACAGTGATGAGGGAGTTGTCAGGAAATTCCACGTCGACAACAGGAATATATATTGTGATAAAATAAATCAAATTCTTAAGGAAACATTCTAGGAAGACATACTGAATAACTTGGATACAAAGCAATGTTCGGAGGTTCTGTTGTTTCTTGATGAATTTGGTTTTCTTATTGAATCCTTTGCAAAGAAATTCGTCAACTTCTTTCGTGTGTAACTTTACATACTGGATTCATTATCCACTACGCTATACATTAAAACTAATTTGTCTACACCAGTTCCTGAACCATTAAAAATTTTGAGGTAATTCCTTTCAATACATTACTATTTTTGGTCATTGTGTTGTTGCGTTCAGTCTTGATATTTTGGTGGCGCCTTCTTGTGGGCACAAACTGTCTTTCCGAAATTATGGACCAGGACGGTGTGATGGTGAGAAATAACTTAGGCGGGGTGGATGTATCTGCACTCTTTCTTAACTACATAGCAGAGAATCACAGTAAGATGTTTGTGGCAGTGACTAATAACTTATGTCATTTGATTACTAAAGAGATTATGGTTTGTGTCTTTGTCCTCTGGTATGATTCTTCCGTTGCCCAGCTACGTAGGTCTCTGAGGAGTGCGGAGAGCCGATGGTGTAATTGTGTGCACCTGGATCATGGTCTGATTATGCACAAGCCCACTGGGCAGTCGTCAACAGCGTATCGGTTCGTAAAGAGGATTACTATAAGAAAAAATAATTTTGACGTGGATATCAATTGCTCCTGTTCATTCATCTGAATGACCTGATTGGTCGTATATCTGAGTCTGCTTTGCCTGCGACTGACTGTAATTTTAGCTGCCCTCGGCCTTCTCTGATTACACTGGAGAATATTCG